CAAAACCTTGTCCTCCCCCCCCCCCCCCCATTACTTGTTTTCCAGACCTCTTAGCTGGAGATAATTGGGACTGAGCTATCAAAACTTAATTCCAGTAAAACTATGATCCCAGCATTCATTAAAATATATAGCTGGACACATTCATAAAAAGGCAATCTCTAGTTGGGTCCTGGAAACCAAGGGGCAACTAAAAGTTTTTTAAAAAATTACATGCTTTTGTGCACTTAACTGGCTACCACTATCAACTAAGGACATCATCCACTGAATCTCCCAGACAATAACTTATTCAACAGACATTTTAAAGTGTCAAGAGGCAGACCAATTATTAAATATGCTGCTTTAGCTCCATTTCTGGTTTAGCTACAGCTAAAGCTGTTCCAGTTTAGACTAATAATGCTTCAGCAGCCACTTCAGCACTATTCCCCCGTTCATATTAAAAAACCTAAATTCAAGGCACATGCTGCCTGACTTCCCTCTCTATTCTCTTAACCACAGATCCCTCTGTGTATTAGCACCAATGGTCTAGCAATATCCACTGGAATCATCACCCTCCCATTAAAAAAAGAGCTTCCTCCTTTAGGAATAAATCTCTGTGCTGAATACTGAGTTTTACCTGGCATTAACCATAAGGCTTCAGAAAACATCTCAACTGTCTAGGAAACAGGGATTCCCAGGGTAGCTCAAAATAGCTTTTCAGATATGCTTTCTTCCAGGGATAACATGATGATTCTTTTAGGTGTCCTGAGCCACTGAGGGCATGTAGGATTATCAGGCTCTGGCCTGGATAAGGTGGCATAGAATATTTATATACACTTTCCATTGAAGCATAGGAAATATGTAGTATACTCAGAGAGTGTTGCCAATTTGTTAAAAAGGGCTTCACTTTATTGAACTGAGGAAGAAGAAAGGAGTTAACTCATGTCATCTCCAAACCTCCATTCCCTCCTGTATCCTTGGCTTCTCCAGTAAGCTCCACTGGCATTGCCTCACCACTTGTCCTGGAGGCCACATGGCCTTTGTGCTTGAGGAGACTTATTTTGTTTGCAGCACTGCCTCCTGCACATCTTTCTCTTTCTACTTTTTTTCCCCTTTCTCTTTCTCTTTCCCTTCACTTCACTTCCCCCTTCCTTCCTTCCTTCCTTCCTTCCTTCCTTCCTTCCTTCCTTCCTTCCTTCCTGTTTTCCTATTCCAGCTTTACATTCAAAAGTTAGACTCATTACTTTACTATAATATGCACTGGTCATGAGAATATGACTACATTACCTGCCTTACATTCACCTCATATATATGTTGTATTTTTTTTTTTTTAACCAGGTCCATGTGGTTAAAAAAGGCATTTTCATCAGACTTCTGTCACAAAGGGGACTAGGCTTTTTGTTGTCACTCCTTATAGCTGCCAAGACTCATACCCTTAACTACAGCATCCGATGTTTTGTACACATTACTTTGAATTGGTAACATGTTTTCCAAATTCTATTTCAGTTCAGGTTTAGCAGAGATTTTCATACTATGGTTAAGACTGTTTTCTAGCTCAAGGTAAAAAATAAGGGTGTGTTCTAGTTGGGTGTGGGGCTATAGTGGGTTTTTCTTTTTTCTTTTGTCAACTTGACTTAAAGTAGCTCTTGATAATCTCAGGTTTGCAGTAGGAGCACAATCCTTATTCACATGAAAGTAGCTTCTCCTTGTCTATCTCTTTTGCTTTAACGTGAAAAATTTGCAGGAAAGGCTGAAATAGCTTCAATCATCAAATAAAACTTCAATCAAATAAAATCAATCATCAATAAAATCATCATGCCCAATTTGCTACTAAGGATCATGGAAGTTAAAACACCCCTGCCCCCCAAAAATGTGGAAGAAGTTGGAAAGGCTGACTAAATGAAGTCAGCAATCCTTAACATAAATATTTACAATCACTTCAATACTGCTGAAAGAGGTATTAGCTGCTGTTTAGATAATATATGAAACATAGAACATATTCGGGGATGTGTGACTGGAAGGATGAATCTCAAAGTAAAAACTGTGTTTTAAAAAGAATAAAGAACAAGAATATCATACTAAGTCATACTTGTGGTTTGTTGTTCTCCAAGAAAGGGAAAAAAAAAAAAAGGTTGAAAAGGTCAAAGACTCCATAGCACTACTTCCCATTTTACAGTTTAATGAACTCACCCCATGTGACGGGTACGAGATCCAGCCCAACTCTCCTTGAATTGCTTTTGAATCTAGCAGATTAACTGTGAAAAGAAGACAAAATAAAGAGGAGTGAATTTATCTGTGTCCAGTTATAGTCCTCTGTTTTGTTTTTGTTGTTGTTCTTTGCTTTTAAAGGTTTGGTTGGTTGGTTTAGAATTAACCTATTCCAAGTGCAGAAAAAGAAGAGCAACAGATGTATCTCCAGTTAATTTCCACAAGGATAAAAAAAGAAATTTACCAGTTTCTCACACTCCAGTTGTTTTTTCCCACCCAGTTCCTCGGAAAGTTGATTCAATAAGTACTAGTAAATGCCAGTGAGAGATGCAACAAAATTCCAGCTGTATTTAAAAATAAGTTTTACATTTCCAAAATTTAATGAGGTATATATAATAATTAATGCCAACTCCAGGCCCTGACTTTATATATTCTTCTATTTCATTTGCTGATATCTTGACTTGCTGCTGTAGTATATTATTTTTTAATGAAAAAGTATAACTTCAAACAAAGTTTTTAAATATGTATTTCCATTCCCAGATAACCTCAAGCTTTTAACAATCTTTTAATCTTCCAGCAGGCAAGACCAGATATGCTATTTTGAAATGTAAATTGCAAATTCAATTAAGTATATTTTGAAACTCTGAAATTAACGTTGAAAACAGATCCAGTAAAATCTGCCTTTTGTCAATGCAACCTCTCCCACAAACCACTTAAGCTTCTACTATATTTCATAATAAGCATATTGATCTGAATGTCTGTGAATGATTCTTATGATTCTACAAAACATCATTACGATAGCTTTCATATTGGCAATATTATTAAGAATTACTAAGACCTGTATGAAAATGTAGCATCTTAGCATGTAAAGTTTTAGAATTCTCCTGGAGATTTAAACGTTTCTTAGAGTTTGTTTTGTTCATGCATATGATAACTGTTCATACTACGGCAACTGAATGATCAGAATATAACTGTAGTAATGAATAAAATAAAATGATTTCACTACAAAAGAAAAGTTTATAAATTATATTTTGATCAATAAAAACTGAAAAGTATTGACTTTCCCCAAGTATTGACATTTTTTTAATTATTACTATTATGGTTGGTCGCACAGTCAGCCAGATGTTTACACTGGATTTGGCATTTTTATCCACCTATCGAGTCCTTCCTAAGGAACTGGGATAGGCAGATGTTGTTGTTTGATAGTGTTAGAGGTATTGTCGCAGAATATAAGCTGTTCCAAGTAAAGCTGCCTTTTGCAATTGACTGATGGTGACATATATTTATTCATTATATTATATTATATTATATTATATTATATTAT